ACTGTTCCAGAACATTGCTAGAGGCTCAACCTTGTATACAAATTAGAGCTGCTATGAAGCAAAGGTCTCTGAAATCTTGATTACTGAGGGTTCTACAAGTCAGGTGACAAAATGCAGGGAGAAGGCATATTATTCAAGATCTCTGAGCAGGTGAGGGTGAGACCATATGCTCCCTGAGCTGGAATGGAAGAAATGAGTCAGAAACCTCCATGTGATCTGAATAGATGGATTCTTCTCTCTCCCTCAAGGATCAGGACTCTGGCCAGTGTGGCTCTTAGTGCCCAGGATGTCCACAGAGAGGGTGCAAACCACACATCATGTACCCATTCCTCCCACTGTCAAACCTGGGACAAGTCTCTGGGAAATTTCTACCTTGGTCTAAGGTGGGACTTACTGGAGTGTGGATGTGAACAGCCATGACTAGAAACACAGTGTCCAGTGCTGGGGACTTGCTCCACCTGACATTACAAATAATTGTTCCACATAGATGGGGTGATTTGACAAGGCCATGATGAGGGGGCAGAGAATCATGTGGGGTCAGCAAGAAGTAGCATAGCACCTGGAAATCTTCCTCACTTGTCATGGCACAGTGACCACAGCTTGCCAATGTCTCCTCCTGCCTTAAATGTCATTTCTTGAATAGGCTACTATGGTTCAAATACTTATACCCACATTTTTGTAACCTGAAAACAATGGAACCAACATACTGAGAATCCACCTCTTGATTGCTGAGATAATTGCAGGGAAGAAAAGGATGTCATGGCCAGCATGGGTGGTCCAGATATTGGGGGCAGGGCCAGGTTCCATGACATCTGGTTCTTGGACAGATTTGGCAGTCAAGTGCTGCTCTAAAATCTTCAGGGATCGTTGTTCTGGGGACCAGGTGGTGCATCGATCAGCACCACCATTCTATTGCTTCTTCTGAAAATGGCTCTCCTGGTCCTAAACCAATCCTACAAGCAGAAGAAAGGGTTGCTTTAGTACACTGAACGGTACCACCACTGAAGAACACATGCTGTAACCATGTATACTGGCTCAATTTTACTAACATTTTAAAACATATATGGATTCTATCCCTGGGCCAGTGTGTGCTAGGTATGTGCTCCAGGACAGAGCTACTCCCCTAGAAAAGCACCACATTTCTGATTGCCCAGGAACTGTTTATCTATCTAACCATAAGAAAGATTGAAGACTTACCTCAAGTGTGTACTGATTGTTCAGAATGCTGGAAGCAACAGGGTTCATTCTCATTGAAACATTCAAAACACCCCCATGAAGAACCTTAGGACATGTACCACCACACCCAGTCCTTCAGCTGTGGGACAGACGTAGAATATTGCCCCTTCTCTGCATCAATTGATATTTTTAATGCATTTATTCAGGAGAGAATACAGATCTAGCTGGTGGGTTGTTTCTGGTCCCTGCTGTGTGTTGAAAAGTATCAAAAACCCTGGAGAACTATCTCAAGGCTCAAAGCTGTGAAAGGCTCCATGGTGATAGCCTTTTGTGAGTATTCAGAATGCACATTTTATGAGACAAAGGGCACTTTTCCTGCTCTATGCTTCCTCCCTAGCCTCCAAGCATACTGTCTATAGGCCTTTTCCCTTGTGGGCATGTGGTCTGGAAAAGTCAGGGCTGATTGTAATGGTGAGCACAGTTCACATACGTAACCAACAAAAGACAGGTAAAAGGTCTATGGGACGTTTCAGGTTCCTGGTCCCAGTATTGATTGAGAACTAAGCCAAGCATGTGTCATTTACAAACTAAAACAAAACAAGTCTGAGAAAAGGTTTTCTGAGACATGCAGAGTGAAAGTATTGAAAGTGGGCAAGAACATGGTCTCTTCACTTAAGTGAGGCATGCAGGCTGCACAGCCTTCAGAAGGTCATGGAGAACACACTATGTCCACCAAGGGACAGACAAAGCACCGAGGCAACTTATGTTTCAGGTGTCCAGGTTGGCATTTCCTGCCTGAGAAAATGGAGGTCTTTCATCATCTTGAGCCTAGCTCGGCTGTGGTCTTGTCTGGCGTCCTTGGGATACAACTTCAGGGTCCCACTCTTATGCTATAATTATCCTCTAGACAACGTCACAAGACGTGGAGCCCTCACCAAAATTATTATTTTTAGAATACTGACCAGCACATCTGCCTCTGACACACCCATCCATCTTGCAAGATCCTTCCTGAAGTAAAAAGATTCCAACATTTAGGCTTTTTGGTGGAAATAAACTGTATAAGGACATGTCCTGTTTGTTTTCAAATGTTTGTGTCCACACTTGTGTGTGCGCACAGGTGTATACACACACACACACACACACACACACACACACACACACACACGTACACACACACACTATTCTTCACACCTGCTTTGAGACTTACTTTAGTAACAGGTTTCTTTTAGAGACCAAAATTAAGGGTAATCATCCAAACACAAGCATGTCGTCTATGTACTTAACATGTAAACCTTCATTAAGAGAGCCTCCATGATGAAAAGTGTTAGCCAAATTTTAATCTGAGGTGGAATCCCTCCTGCATTTTTCCAGCCACACCTAAGGCTTCTCACTCATTCTTTTTTTAAAATATTTTAATTTCCTATGGCATTTAAGGTAATTTGAGAAGTATATAATTAAATTTGTATTTTTGTGCCTTAGTATCATTTAGTAGAAATAGTTTAAAAATCTTTTCAATTTAATTTATTTTTATATTTTTAATCCATCCTAATTCTGTTTACATTGTTATTTTAAGTTTGTTATGTTGTACAAAAATAAAAATTAAAAATTGAAGTTTTAGTAGTAAAGACAGGATACAATTTGTTATTTTGTTAATGTTATAGTGTGTTATTGAATGTATGCTAATTTAACGATGTAGCCATCTATTAAATATTTTGTAATTTAAGTAACCTTTTTTTTTTTTTTGACAGCCAACTCGTCTTCATTGAGGGAATCGGTCTCTAGGCCTGGGGCCCTCATTGCACAGCTTGTTCATTGGCACAGCCTCCAGAATCCTATGGCTTCATCACATCTGGAAGCTCCAGAGAGCTGGAGAAGGGCTCAATGTGCAGGGCTTCAAAGGCATCATCTGCTCGGAAGGCCAGGCCCACTGTGGCTGGGGCCTGTATCCAAGCTGTCTGGCTAGTGAACCCACAGTCGCCCAGAGTTTTTCTGTCATCAAGGAGCTGGTCATCCTTGTACAGGCGCTGCTCTTCTGGAGGCCGCTGGAGGATGACTCGGACCACACGCTTTTGCTGGAACACGGTACTCGACTCTTTGGCTTCCTTGAAGATGGTGGTCTTGTGGCGGCGGATCATGAGAAACACCTTCTCTGATGGTTGTGAGTCCCATGGTGCAGAGCCAGCTCTGGTGCTTTCCCTGAAGGCTTTACAGGAGCAAGGGAAACAAAAGGAGCCATTCTTTCTTCAAAGACAACTCCTGTAATCTAAAAACCTTGCCATGTGGCTCGTGGCTTACTGGTGTCTTCACATGCTTCTTATCATGGTGGCAGCTGACAGTCCTCACTCATTCTTACAGAGACTCATTTAGAACAAGCACTGTCTTAATTTACAACTCATACGCCACTTTAACAGGCAACAAAACACAATCTTTTCAGTTGGACTATGGCACATGCCTTACTCCAGAAAACAATTTCTGCTGGAGCGTCCAGACATGCTTGCTTTGTTTCTAGAGAAAATCAGGGGTTCAGGGAGCACCAAAGGACAGCCTGGATGCACTGCCTGAAAACCAGGTGCCTAGCAGGGCATTCTGCTTACCTTACTTGAAAGCTGGGGTAGCAAGTCTCTTTGAAAAGACAGTCCGGCACCTGCAGCTGAGACTGGGTGAATCTGGTGTGGCTCTGGAAATCCCCAGCCTGGAGACTCTTGGTGCCCTCAGGCATTGCCGCCTCTTGCTGAGGTTGCTGTTGAACACTGCTGCCATGATCACCTTCTGCCTGGATCCCCTTGTCCATGGGGCCAGAACTACCATTGCCAGCATTTGCTCCTTCCATTTCTTCTTCTTTGTTTTCTCCCTCCTCTACCACTCCTGTGGCTTCCTGAGCAAGACCGGACTGAGCAAGCTCTTCTTGAGCAGGCTTGCTTGGAGCAAGTTTGCCCTGATCAAGCTCACCCTGATCAAGCTCGCTCTGTACAAGCCCTCTCTTGCCTCCTTTCTCACCAGCCTTCAGGACCACTGCATTCTCACCTGCTAGAGAGAAAAACACAAAGATAAAGATCTGAGCATCATGGCCATGGATCACTGGAAAGCCTGGAGAGGGGCCACGGGCAGAGCCGGGTAATCGAAGTGCATGGACACTGGCCTTTCCAACAGATTTGCTTCCCGGACTTTGCCCTAGTCCAATCAGAACCATTTTACTGACCATGCTGTTGTTCCTGTTGCTCATCAGCTCCTGGACTCAGCATCCTGTTGAAACACTGGCTGCAGCGCTGGCGAGTGTCTTGTGGGGAATCATTCAATCAGACCCGAGTTCCAAAGCTTTATAACCACGTCCTCACTGTCTGGAGCCACAGGTACAGCTGTGACTCTTGACCGGGAAGGCTTGTCTTCTGGACACTCAAAGTAATTACAATGTGTCCAATAACATTCTTGCCTGCACAGACTCAGTGGCTTTTGGCTTGTCCTCTGAGGTCCTAGCCTGAAGCACGTTAGGGCTGAAAGAGCAGGGAGTACTTTAAAAAACACAGTGAGTGTGGTCGTGGGGGTGCGGAACCTGTGGCTCTGGTTTTCTCCTTAGCTGACACCTCTAGTTTTGCTGGACTGTTCAAATTCAGTCACAGGGAGTAACACAAAGACCTTCTCAAACTCAGCAGGCCCTTGAGCCCAGCTAAATCATTTTATTAAATTATGCAAATGTCCTTCAAACAAAATGCCCCAATCTTGGATGTGCTGTCTTGAAGAGCCCTGTATGATGACAAATATGTAGGTAAGCCAGGGCAAGATCCTCCTGAGAGACTGTGCTCCCAAAAGGGCTGAATTCCGCTGGTATTCACAAGCTCATTCTGATGGTGGAGACCTTGCTCTACATAGCTGTGCTTGCCCAAGGTCCTAGGGTGATCCAGATACCTGAGGCCATCAAAGATCGCCCCTGGGTACTGGCTTCAAACCTGTCTCATAGCTGTGAAGGTGAAAGACAGGAGGAGTAAGCAATTCTGGATTCAGCTCTACAAAGAATAATTGCAGGAAGGGGCAGAACCGAGGAAAAGTTAGAGAGACTCCCCAGAGTAGGTGACATTCCCAAAATTTAAAAGAGCCACTGAGCTCTGTCATTTCCTGGTTTTTGTTTTTATTAGGATCATGGCAGTGTCTGGACAATGGCTGAGGTAATTGTTAGGAGATGGTTTATTTCTCTGTGTTAGCTAGGCTGAGACTGGAGGGCCCAGGGTCCACATGGTCTAGCCCACACCAAGGAGATGATCATGCTCTGTTCACCTATTGCCCACCTAGTCAGGGGTGGCTCAACCCCCTCCCACCACAGGCCCATTTATCCATCCCTGACTAGGCCTTTGTGAGTTGTGAGCTTTGACTGTCTGGTCGCAATTACATACTGGGTGATCTTGTGTCCTCTGACATTTCAGCTGTCCCAGGTGATTTTAACTATACTCAGCTCTCATTCTTCTCAGTCACCAAGAAGCAGCTGCAACTGTCCTTCCTCTTCTCCTTATCTCCTGTGTGGTTACAAAAGGCTTCCCTGAAACCCTGAAATGGGAGGCTTTCTTAGACACAGACTTTACTCCCTCTCACAATTAGCTGCTGTAGAAGCCAGGCTATATAAGGAGACAATAGTGCCATGTGTGCTTTCCTGAAGGACTTGGTGGCCTGGTTGGACTGCCCACACTAGCTGGGAGCCCTGTCTTTATCAGTGTGAGACAGCTTGACTGTCCTACTGATAACAGAAACTCTTTGTGTCTCATCTTCAGTGTTCCTGGCTTGGCTGTTTCAAACCAACCCTCCTTTTAGCCCTAGCATCCCTGCAACATATGTGAGCAACTTACAAATTTGAACGTGAGTGCTTTTTCCTCACTAAGGACAGAGACCTAGCTCCTGCATCCATACCAACCCCAGATTCTGAGATAAATTTCCCAAGATGCTGTTCACAGGGATGGTTTGAAGCAGGTAAGCAATCATGCATTCAGGGTGCTCCACAGACTGTTCATTTCTTCCCCTTTCTACAGAACTCACAGGACACTGGGTGTATTCTTTTATTTCTGGCAGTTTGCTCCCAGAGCTTAGCAGACAGTGTTGCAGAGGGATATCTCTCACTGATGGGTGACTCAGCATCCTTAAAGATGGATGCTTGCTGTGTAACCCAGAGGAGCTGTGGGGTGCACTATGGGAGT